GAGGAGAGGAGAGAGAAAGGAACTATCCCAATCCTGTGGTTCCTGCCTCCCCGCGTTCCCTCCACCTACTGTACAGCCAGAGCTCCTTGGATATCAGCTCCCTCTGGGTCTGAAGGAGTCTCTGCAGCCTGCGGTCTGTCCTCATGTGCTCCACATGCCCAGCTCTGATGAGAAAGGTGGGATGTCCACGGGGCCTAGAGAGCCTTGGCCAGGCTGAGGACCCTCTGTTCCTCATCACACCCTCTTTTAGGGACCAAGCCCATCCAAATGACCTTCACCCCTGACCCTAACACTAGCACCCATTCATTGCTTCACTCATTCAACATGGTATTGTCTGCAGAAAGAACATGAACTCCAGGGAGCAGCCACTAGGTGGCAGGCTCTGTGCTAGTCAGCCAGTGTGATAAAGAGGTGCTAAAACAGTCCCCTCCTGGAGAAGCAGCTCCCAGTTCTGGGGGTAGGCAGGTGCTCTGCATTCTTCACCTGGAACATGGAAAGTGTTACACAGAGTATCTTCAGGCTATGGCAACAAACATGCTTGACCACTAAGGAAGCCTGGGAAGGCTCTCAGGAGGAGGTGGCTTGGGGCTTCAAGGACAGGCAGAAATTCTCCAGGCAGAAAAGGTGGGGTGGATAGAGGGGGCATTTCAGATTTTGCATAAAGATGGACAGAGAGGCTACAAAAGTTTTGCTTTCCCCAGAGCCCAGAGCTTCATGAGCAGAGGCTGTAGAATCCAAAAACTTAGCACAGATCCAGGCCTACCCACCACACAACCAAACCCCAGCTCAGTACTAGTGTCACTGACGCCCCCAGGTGGCGGAATCAGCAAACTGCCAGAGACTGGCAGAAGAGCAAAAGGTCCCAGGGCTCTTGGATTCAGGTGATCCAAGACTAGCTCCTGTTCCTTAGACACAAACCTCTGGGGCCTGCCTGCCCTATCAGTCCAAGCAATGATTCCAGAGGCCTCAAGCGAGGCAGCACAGGGCCTTCCCTGGCCCTGAAGGAAGAAATGGGATTTCACAATGCTGCTCTCAGGAGACCAAACACAGCATCACTAGGACAGCGCTTGTGGGGAGGACTCCTGCTCTCCTGAGGCTCCCATTCCCTCCTATGCCTTGTATGTTAGGCAATGGCAGAAAGCCATTTTACAGACAGAAAAAGAGAGGCAGAGGCAAGACAATAAAGCATTCACTCATTTCTTTCTTGGAACAAATTTAGGCCCCATGCTAGGCCACCAAGAGGAACAAATCCCTGGACCTAAGGATGAGGCAGACAAAGACAGTGAGATACTGGGAGAGGCTCACAGCCCAGTGTAAGGACGTTTGGTCCTAGGGCCTGGTGATGGTGGGAATGCTGTACATTCAACTTTCCTTCTCTGCCACCTCCACTAGCAGCTCTGATGAGGCAGAGGGGAACTACTCCCACTAGACTCACCTGAAAAAAGCAGCAGGCTCAGCATTCACACGGATCTGCATATGCTTGAACCTGCGCAGACCAAAGGAAAACGTGTGCTGACAATGGACAGTACTGACCCCTCCTTTTGGAGGCCTGGATCAAGACCTCCAGACAAAGGGGAGTCCAGCTGCACCTCGAGAGGGTATCCCAGACCTAGGCAGGGTGGCAGGAGCCCTGAAGACAGGGTGGCCCTTTGCCTATCTCCAAAGAGGACAGGTGCTCACAGCACGTCCTCTTCCCAGGGCTGGGCCTGAAGGAAGCCACAAAGCACAGAGTAGGGGATGAATCCATCTGCTCATATGAAACAGGGTGGTTAAAACAGAAGCACATGAGAAGGCCAAGAGATGACGATCATGGTCAACCAGACACATGAGTGCTTCTCATGTGTATAATCTCATTAAGCCTCACGATTCTCTGGTAAGGAACAGTACTATCCCTGTTAGGATGGGAAACCCAGTTCAAAGAGGTTAAAGGCTCAGCCAAGAGCACATGGCTAGTAACTAGCATATCTGGGATTTGAACTTAGGCAGCCTTACTCCAGATCCCATTCCTTACCCATTATGCCCAGCCCTCAAACCTCAAACACGGGAGACACACCTGAAATCCCCCTCCAGCTTTTCTTGCTGCACCAGCTTTGCCACAATGGGCCCCATCAACATTTTGTTCACCACGGTTCCCAGGATGAAATACCCGAAGATGCTCACGGGCCCGAGCCAGCCTGTGCTGCAAGCCAGAGGGAGGGATGGTGGGGTGCCACATATTCCCGCAGGCCTCAGCCCTGACTCCCGCCCCTTCAGGCAGCCCCTGTTCAATCTCAGCAGCCCTGCGAGGCCTCAGCTCCCATGTCATGTCATCTAGTACCTGGTCTATGCTGTTGGAGCACCAGATCCCTGTGACACTGAGGACAGGGCCCCAAGCATGTGAGATAAGACTGGAATGTAGGTGGGAGGAAGGGAAGACAAGCCTCTTTTGGACCCTGACCTAAGAGAACTTAGGTGTGTGACTGAGGGACACCTGGGAGGAGAGGAGGAAGGACTCTGGCAAGGGAGGCTTCACCTTTGGAAGCACTGATAGGTGTAGTAGCCGAGGGTGAAGGGAGAGATGATCAGCTGGCTGGCCATGCTGCTGAGCTGCCGGCAGAAGCGCTCCACGTCCTGGCTAATGCGCTGGTCCCTGGAACCAACAACACAGAGTAACTGGACCCAGACAAGGTCTGGTTTTCCAGGGAAAACGAGACCCTCAGGACTCCTGAACAGAATTCTGAAGAGTTGCTTCTTATGGTGCCTCAGTTTACTCCTCAGAAAAAATAACAACTGAAAGGTCCGGCACCCAGGGGTCCTGATCCAGTTCTAAGGGTAGCTAAACTGAGTTTCTGGATGATCAGGGAAGCTATCCCATTTCTCTCACTCCTCCCAATTTCTTTTACAAGCTTGAGCCTGTCCCCATTTTAGCTATCTGGTGGTGGAAGCTTCCATAGGTTGAGCCATAGAGAAGAGGCCTAGGAAAGAGTTAAGCAGCAATAGCAGCCTCCCAAAAATCTTTGCTGAGAAAAGATCACCTCAGGCAACAAAGTGCTTGGGAGGGTGGTGAGTGGGGAGGGAACGAGTATAAGGAGACTTCGTATGTTCCATCGCACCGCCAGGGCCACAATGACTCCTATTTCCAATGAGACATGACCTTGGGCAAGTCACGTGCATTCTCTGGGCCTTGGTTTCCTCACCTATAAAATCACAATAGATAACTTACACTGTAAGGCTTGCTATGTGCTAGGCACTGACTATGGGCATTACATGAATATCATTTTTGACCCTCACTATATGCTTTGAGATAGGGACTATCATTATCTTCATTTTACAGAAAGGGAACCAGGGGCTTAGTGTACTTAAGGCCTATAAACTGGGAAGTGACAATATAAAAATTTAAATCCTAGACTGAGCCCCAGACAGTTTTTTACTGCTGAAAATCCGAGAGCTGGTTTTCTAGATTTTTCTAGCAAGGCCACTCTCTTCAAAGGGAACCTGATTTGGAAGCCCAGGATATGAAATAGACAAAAGGGCTCCTATTTTTAGCTCCCTGTTCTCAGCCCTGCAGCCTCTCCAGGCCTCCTCTGCTGAGCACCCTTCCCCCATAGCTCTCATCAACATTTGCAGATAACTAGATAATCTCCAAAGGATCTGCCACACACACTCTCCAAGGCTGATCCAGGTAGACAGAAACATGCAGAGGATAGCAGGACTGAGAGGGGAGGCCTACGGGTTATCCACGTCATCCCGCAGCACGTTGAGGGTGTAGTACACACGGCCTCGGAAGTAGAGGTGGTGGAGATGCTCGGTGAGGTCCTTCCTCCAGCTCACATACAGCAGGTTGCAGATGAACTGGTCAAAGCTCTTCAGCTGTGCAGTGGGGGAGGCAAGGAAAGGGAAGGAAAGGGATGGCTTCCTGCAAGTCTCAGCTCAAAGCTATGGGCTGGCAGAAAGCATCTGCTGAACAGTCCAGCGTACTCCAATCACTCTGTCCACTCAGCACTTCTGCTTGTTTAAAGTCACAAGTCATGAGGCTTTTCCCTTCCTCACTCACCCATGTGTTCATTCCTTCACCAAACAGTGAAGGGCTTCCCAAGGCATGGCCCTTGAGTCCCCTTTCTACATTATACTGCCTGAATCTGAGAGTGGATGAGCTTCCAGAGATTGGAAACAATATTTTCTATTCCATTTATGTTCTTACTTTTCTGTCCCCAAACATGGAACGGGGTTCTGTATACATAGGTGCTTACTGACCAAAGATACATCAAAAGCGCCAAATATGATGAGAAATGGCTTCCCCAAGAACCAAGAAAACAAGCAGTGCAGAGCCCTGATTCTCTTCATTCCCCATTTATGGAGCATCTGCGTGCTAAGCATGAGGGAAGTAACAATGAGCTCAGTGTAGCCAGGAAGCAGACAACTACAGGGTGTAAGGAGTGTTGCTGCAGAGGTAAGCTCAATGTATTAAGTACGTAGAGAACAGGACAGAGTTTGGTGGAGAAAACAGAGGAGAAAGTTGAGGAGGACTTGACGGTGACAACGGGAATCTTGAAAAGTGAGCAGGTATTAACCAAGGGAGAGAGGGGTGGGGGAAGGAGGCCATTCTGCAAGAAACAGCAGGTGCAAAAGCTGGGAGGTGTGACACGAGCCAGCTGAGTCACAGCCTCAGGCCCAGAGAGGAAGAGCAGCTCTGGCTGCTGATCCCAGGTTTTGAATTGCACTGCACTTCCTGAAGCAAGAGTTCTGGGAACGAAAAGAACAATGATAATTTCCCCTAAATGCCGAGTTAAACCAGAGCCTCCTGGCCTAGTCCTGGGAGCTTGAAACACTGGAGGAATTGGTCCCAGTGGGCCAACAGCAAGATCAATGCCCTACCTAGGGTTCTGACCTCAAGTTCCTAGAAAAGGGAGGGGACACCCACCCAAAGCTTGATTCCTGCTTCCTAGTGACTAAGTCCCACTGGGCATTCCACTAACACTAGGCTGGAAAGGAAGAGACACACAGGAAGAAGACCTTACCATGGAGTTGAGAACGATCAGCACGACAGCCAGGAATGTCAGGGTCTTAAACCCATCCAAGTCTTTGTTTCCCAAGACCCCATAGTATTGACTGGGGATCAAGCCAACCTGGTAGATCACCAGTTGTTCTGGGGGGGGGGG